TTCTGAAATGTGGAGTTTCAATAGAAGTACTATGAAAGTGAATTGAATTGAAGCTGAGGTTCAGTTCAAGTCCCACCATACCTTGGAAGTCTCTTCTGATTGTCCAGACCTGCTGGGATGTCACCTCCTCCAATCCCTGTTGCACTTAGAGTCTGTACCATATAGCTCAGTGTGAGATCACTGTCCTGTAATTTTTACTTATTATTTTGAGTGTATTGCATTGCTTTTATAACCTGATTGTAAAGCCCAGGCAGGCAGAAGCCAGGTGTTTATTTTTTTCATCTCCTCATAATACCTACTACAATATTACCTAGAACAGATGCTCAGTAAGCATTTCCCAACTCATTATAAAAAAAGCAAAAAGCTGACGGGGAGTCCTGGGGTTGAATTCTGAATCCATCACACTTTGCAGTGTGCACACTTTGGGCAACCTGGGTGTGATCTGGATTTCTTGTTTCCTCATTGATAAAACGTGGGTGATAGTAATAGCTAAAAAGGATCATGTAAATGCTATGTGCCAAAGTCATTAACATACCCAGCAATTCTGTTAGGAAGACATTATTATTCTCATTTTATATGAAAGGAGACACTAAGATAACTAAAATGCCCTGGCCAGAGTCACTAAGCTTGGCAAATGGCAGAGTGTGAACTTGAAACCCAATTCTGAGTCCAGAGCACTTAACCATTATATGATACTGCCCACACCTGACGTACCTGCCTCGGCGTCCAAAAGATTCTAAGCATGATAATGAAGAAAAGCTTTTTGAAGAAGGTAAAAAAGCCATACAAAAAGTGAGTCTAGTTGTCATTGTATTACATGGAAACCATTTTTACTTTTAAAAGCAATTGGCAGTCTGCAGCTGGAGCCAGAAGGAATGGATGGCCACAGTGCATGGGAGAGACTGGAAGCTCTTCTGGCTGCTGCTTGGCCTTGCAGAAAGGTTCCAGAAAATCAGCAGCCTGCAAAATGTTCACTATTCACTCCCCTAATTACTAGAGGCTCAGCCCGGGGGCTGATAACAATGAACATCAGTAGAAAAAGGAGACTACTTGTGCTTTTATTCTCATTTTTAATTGATCTTAAAATTCTTGCCTGGCCCTTCGCCTTCAGCACAGTCCAGAATCATGAATCCTTGATATGTGGCTCAAAAGAGAAGCACAGGACGGTGTATTCCCTTTCCCTTCACCAATTTCCTGCCTGTGTTTCTATTCTGGGACCAATGTACAGAACATTCCAGTTCAGAGATGGAGCAAGCTCTGCCCTCCTTAGTGCACGGTGGTGCATGCAGCCTGGCCCTATTGTGAGCACTGTGCAGGAGGGGCCGCATGGGTCTGCAGCTTTTGGTGCCCCTTACTGGGTGAGTGTAGGGGTTCTTTTGCAACTGATTGTATCCATCTGTTTTTAAAGGGCGGAAAAAAATTACTGAATTTAGGTGTCGATCGATACATTAATTACACTGATCTCAGTTGCAGCTGTATGGTCTTAATAGCTGATTGCTGCAATACCCAGATCTGTGATATCAGAATGTGACATGCATATTTTAATTTGAGAAATAGTTTAACATTTTTAGATATTCATTTAGATGTGGTTATGCAGGTTAAACATAACGTATGATCGCTGCTTCTTTCATTGCTTCCAATTAAACCTTGCTTGTTAGTTTAACCTCTAGGTAATCCCATCAAACAATTGATGTCAAGGAAACACTGCCCACAGTAGCTTCGGATGAGTGGCCATTAATTTTAATTGCCTTGATATTAAAGATTAAGAAGTATTGGGACTAGCAGAATAGAAACGATCTGATGTCAAGCAAATCCACTTGCTAAAGCTTCCCCAGGCTGCTGGTGATATTAAAATTTTACTGTGAGAATTAAATAAACCTTTATTAGTAATGACTGTTGTTTGATTGGTCCAGGGGTATGCATAAACAGAGGATTCTTACATATCTAGAGATGAGACCTTCCATGGTACAGAGATTCCTCAATTATGAAACTGTTAATAAAGCTGTAATCTGATTTTCCAGGCTAGGTTTCATTAATGTATTATAGCTTCTCTGATTGTCAAGGTAATATTAACTACAAAGTACTGAATCCAACAGAGAATTGTTTAGAAGAAGAGAATTCTAAGATGGGCCTTTGTTGCTAAATTCAGAGTTAGGGAATTTTCATTAATTATGCTTAAGAAATACCAAATTCCCTCTCAACCAGTACTATCCCCTTTGCTCTATAGATATATTTAATATTTAACTCTTTGTAAGGCCAAACAGTCTTATTAAGAAAAGCTAGAGTGATGTTGTATATTGAAGGGGCTTTTTGCAAGCCAGCTCCAGGGCTGCCTCCTGGCCCGAGAATGTGCATCGTGAAGGGTGAGGTGGTATTGAAGAGAACTTGCTTTAATAAGGATAATCAGGACTGTTACCTTTAGGGTTCTTTTTCAGTCTTTATTCAGAACTTTTCTGTTTTTAGAATCACATATTTCTGGTGTGGATCCTAATGGTCCCTGAGGCTGACTTCCCGGATACAGAAACCCCTCCCAAGTGTCTGTCTCCATCCTGCTCCACAGTATCGGCCCTCTCCACGCCTGCCACTCTGTCTGCCTCGGCCCGCTTGGCCTCCTTGCGTGTGTGCTCTCCTGACTCGTCCTCCTAGTGCCACGTCGTACACAGTTATGCACCTGCCACAAGCATATGGACCTAAGGAAGAGAGGGCTGAGAAGGGCAATGGTAGGACAGGGTTAGCTCCCTCAGTGCTGAGTTTGAGGGCCCAGTATTGTGACGTTTTAGATGTCAAAAGTAGGACCAATGAATGGAAAGGAAGGGGCACTACATTGTAGTTCAGAATAACAAGAACTGTGTGTCCACTAGGACTATCCAACAATGCAATCAAGGACTTGGTGAGGTAGTGAGTACTTCGTCTCTGGAGGTAGAGATACCAGGAACACAGGGAGAAAACAGAAGAGGAGCACCAATTTAGAGGACACCTGAGTTCCCTCTTAGCCCTATTGAGTTGGAGGTTGTGGCAGAACTTTTGTGGAAATCTCTTAAAAATTGAGAACTATTTAATAGAATTCTTCCTAGAAGATGGGGGTAGAGATGAAAAACTGGAAGGCATCCACACAGAGGATAATTGAAATTTTGAATATGGATAAAGTTCTCAAGGAGAAAGAAGAGGGCTAAGAGCTGGGTCGTAGAGAAAACACACACACAGACTCACCATTCTAGTGTGTCAGGGGCAGATATTAGAGGAGAATTAGGAGCATAATGTCATGGAAACCATGCAAAGAGCCAGCTCTAGTTGCTCTAGGGAGGAGGGTGGTGACTACAAGTATCAGTCACTTGCTGAGAGGTCACACAAGTCGAAGAGAGAGAAAAAAAAGGCCAATGGATTTGGTACAGGTGTGATTCCTGTGTAACCCCCCGCCCCCCACCCACACACACACAGTCAACCACCTAGCCCTTAAGAGTGTTACGATTAAATGAAAAAACGTATGCAAGGGACTCTGCCTAGTGCTCAGCACATAGGAGATTCATTAAATGACAGTTATTACGGCCACTATATTTGATATAAAGAAAATAAGGGATACATACAGTCCTTCAGGGCAAAAAGAAAAAAAAATGGTGGAACAGAAACAGCTAGGAAGCACTGATCTGTAGCATATTTACTTCCTGGTGGGTTTTGGCTTGTTTCTGCCTAGTGAACTTATGCTCGTGGTTGCTGCACGGGTCCTCAGCAAGTATGCCTGCACATGCGTGTGCACCAGCGACCCCCAGAATGGGACAGCATGTGTGCAGCAGCAAGGCCAACGTCGTCGTCTTCACGTGGCTCTCTTGCCAGGGCTCTCTGGCGTCTCCTGGAAGGACGAGTGCCATAGGTTGAAGAATGAGAGTTCTAGTTCCAAAGCAATTAAAGACTTGGCAGAGATGGTCCACAGGGGTGCCCAGTGGTGGGAATTGAGTTGGAAGGCTCTGAACTACATACCACTCCTTATTTTTCTTCAGGGCCCCTGAATAGCTGTTAGGGAATAATATCTTTGGGGTAGAACAGTGACCACCCAGCCTCACATCGCAGCAACATGCCCCTTTGACAGATTATTAAGAAATTATTGAAAAGTATGTTAAAACTATTACTGTAATAAAAGAGAGGTCAGACCCTTTTATATAGGGAAATAGGCATACCCTCTTATAAATTGCCCTGTGGCTTTTAGCTTCTTTATACAGCTCAACTACAGGTGCCTAAACACCTAATGTAACTCTGAGCCTTGAAGAAATGTGATGAAATTTGCCTGTTGCCAAGATCTTCTTTAGAAATCTCTTCCATTTACACCAGCTGACATCATAAGTAGTTTGCAAAAGAAATAAATATATTCTACCTGATGAAATCAGAGATGCTCCTCTGCATTTGCATTTGACCTTATTGGAATTACTTGAGTTTTCAAGTTGTGACCTTCCCACATGTTAACTGGCAGAGCTTGAGCAGCCATCTTGGCAGGCTTACAGTGTTTCCTAAGGCAGGAGACAAAGGGATTTTTCATCCATTATTAATTGATGTTAGTCTTTTCAGCAGACCAAACATGATTCTACTCTACAGCTGCCAAATCTGTTCCAGACCCAAAAAGAATCAATTGTTCATTCTCAAGTATTTATTATTTACCTAACTTAACAAATGTTTCCTTTAGCTTTTCAGTTACTTTTAAGGGGGACTGATTATTTCTATACCAATTAGATATCTTTTATGAGTAGTGCTTCCAGCCACTTAAATGTTACTGTGGTCAACTCCAAGAAGCAGTGTTATTCCAAAAGAGTGTGAGAAGTTTGCCAAAAGAGAAAATGAACGCCTGAAACCATTGTACACTATCCATAGAATGTGAGATTGCAGGCTAGGAATTGAGTGCTTCTCAAGATATCCCCTTGGTTATCCCCTTGGTGTGCAGCAGTTATTATTGGAAGTTTGACTTTTTCTTTGACCTCTCTTCCCCTTCACTTCCATGTCCCTGCAATTTGTAGGTATCCAATTGGTTTGGCAACAAACGAATCAGGTACAAGAAGAATATTGGCAAGTTTCAGGAAGAAGCCAACCTCTACGCTGCAAAGACGGCTGTGACAGCTGCACACGCAGTAGCGGCAGCTGTGCAGAACAACCAGACCAATTCGCCCACCACGCCAAATTCTGGTGCGTACTGGGTGCTTGCTTCCTACTTGGCCCAGGCAGCCTTGTGCCACAACACCCTGTCCCACAGGCCAGGAAACAAGAGCCATACTGAGGACACAGTGGACTTATAGAGGAAGATTTATGTTCAAATGCAGGCTTGTTCTTGGAATGGGTGAATGAGTGGATGGCCAGAGCCTGTAAACCCACTGCTCACAGTGAATGCCACTCGCAACTGGTAGATTCTGGAACTTTTACATTTAGTAGTGGTTTTTAGTTTAGCAATTAGGCAAACTGCTATCACTAATGATTATTTTAGCCATATTGCTCCGTGTATCGCTTTAGGGTCCGTAGTGGTTTGTCGAAGAATGACCCAGCAGAAGCGGGCAACGTGCCCGTTGTTGTGGGCAGTGAGGATGCAGTGCTGGAGTTCCAGCCCGCAGTGCTCTGCCCTTCGCGGCACCTGTGCAAGCGGGGCTGGCTCGGGCCCGCGAGGGATATGGTACTTACACATGCACCCAGCACTCTTGCTCCTCGGCCAGTACGTTTTGGCCACATTTTATGTAACATTTGTGAGGGAATTAGAAATATCTTAAAATTATAGGGAACTTGAATAACGGCAAAAGATGTACAGCTAGTCCAAACAGATGGACTTGAGTAGCAGCTCAAGGGGCTTTTCCAAGGAGACCTTTTAACTGTATCTTTAAGTGTTCATAAAGTAAGGGGGGTGTTATTTGTTTTATTTTGCTCCTGGCTCCCAATTCTGTTTAGTAGAGCATGAAAACAAGTAAAAGGAAAGGTAGGTAGAGTGTGTGGCCAAGAAAGAACTTCTGAAAACTTTTCTTCTCTGGGTAATTGTCTACCGTGACAGTTAATGATGTTGAAGAGCTTATTTAATGACCAAGTCCTGGAGGTAAATGGAAACAAGGGGAAGGATCCAGGCTCACTACTGGGTATTTTTCTGTTTATTTTGATTTGTCTCTTTTGGTGGGGGGAGGGGCTTCCCCATTGATAGGACTTTTCCTAGATGTAAAGTGAATCACAGGACCTAACTCTCGGGAGTTATTCTCAGACCTCTTAGATCTGGAAATGCTTTATGTTGTGCACAACCTCTCCCTTCCTTACCTTTTCTCCTTTCCCTGCCTCTAGGTCTGTGAGGATTATGTGTGTAGCTCTCTGTTATTCAGCTACTTAACTCTTTCCTTTCCAGGTTCTTCTGGTTCTTTTAACCTCCCAAATTCTGGGGACATGTTCATGAACATGCAGAGTCTGAATGGGGATTCTTACCAAGGGTCCCAAGTCGGAGCCAATGTGCAATCACAGGTAGGAGAAATGGCCCAACTGGGGCCTTTCTAGCAGGGTAGGGTTTGGGCTCAAAATCCTTACTCCGACCCCATGGAAGTGATCTGCACGTCCATGCAGAACCTGTGCTGGGTGCTTCCAAACATGACCCATCTGCCCTACCATTTAATTTAATGAGAAGTCAAGTGAACAGTGACTTGTGATGATTCAAACCTGACAAACTTTGTGAATGCATTCGGCTCTGGCTTGAGCTCATGGAGAGGGGTTGGGTGCATCTTACTTTTGTCACAAAATAGAACAGAAAAATTGCATGTGCCAGTGTGTGTGTGGTTTAAGAGCATATTGCTATTTCTATGTTTTAAAGTCAGAATACAAAAACCTGAGTTCTTAAAGTATAACCTATACTTTGAAAAGGTTCAACTCTCTTCTCATCCTTTTAATTGAGAACAGAACTATTTATATAGTTTTTGTGCATATAGATAAGTGTGTGTGTGTCTGAGACTGAGAGAAAGTATGTGCGGAAGAGAGTCCAGTATACACATTTATAAGTATTAATAGGTTTTCACCCACAGCCACATGCATTTGGTTGCTGTAGATGGAAAGTTTGCATTGCCATGAAGATGTTATTGTTTGGCTGGCATGAAAAACAAAGATGTGTGGGTTTAAATATGCAAAGAATTGTTGAAATTTTGCCAGTCATATTTGATTGATAAATGTGTCTTTCATTGAAGATGCTAAACCCCTGTGGCAAACATAATTCACATTGTTTTCTTTTGTAAGTGATGATGTTTTTATAGATTTGAGATGATGAATTTTGTTTGTCTCACTTCTAGGTGGATACCCTCCGTCATGTTATCAATCAGACGGGAGGCTACAGTGATGGTCTTGGAGGAAATTCACTGTACAGTCCACATAATTTAAATGTGAGTACTTTGGGGACCAGCTGTAGGAACAGTACCAAGTAAACAGTGACTAATAAATAAATTAATAAGCATTTGACTGGGCTTCTCATCTTCTTGGCAGGTAGGGAAGGCAGTGTCTTTACTGCACTCTTATTTTATGAACTTAAACACTTGATGTTACCTAGATGCCCTTAGAAGTCCTCACAGATGTCCAGAAGTGGCTGGTGTCCTGTCATAAGCAGGGACTTAAGCATTAGGCCATTAAGATGCCATTTCCTACCATCCGTGCTGTGTTCCGGGGAGACAGTGAAAACCAGGTCATTTATCTTAGAATCAAGCCATAGGAAAATTCCCAAACATAACCCAGGTTAGGTTGGTAACCTTGGAGGACCCCAGACAGATCAATAAACCAAGTTAAACAAAGAATTATGTTCTTAAAAGTGTCTTGCTCTATTGTCAATGTGGGATCCAAAACATGTTCTGTGATTTTTAATTATGGAGGAAATAATTATAACTTTTGTAACCACTTCACTACAGCCTTACCCCCCCCCCACCAGGACATGGATGGAAAATGGCAAAACACACAGCTCCAGAAAAGGAGCAGGAGACAGGGCATTGGGGCACCATGATGGAGCTGGGGTGGGGCGGTACACAGGGTCTGGAATTCCAGACTTAGGGAGGAAATGAACTATAGAGTCAGAAAGAAAATGGACAATATCTCCCTTTTTAGGGCTGTGACTTGCTATGAGAGTAAATATTAATGATTTAAAAAGTGATTGAGGATGTTCAATTGTAAAGGGGAAAAAGGACCATTAAATACTCAAATCTTTTACATTTGAAATGTCAAATCTTTCTTTTTGGGTTTATAAATAACTCATAATAACCCACAACAAACCATATAAAAAGCCTTTTAGTTGCATTTCTCCTTTTTCATTTAAGTGTTTTGAAATGCTTCAGAGAATGTGCGATACCCTTATCAACATGATAAAATATGAAACTGTGATTGCCTGCAGCATTTTACAGACATGAATTCCATCTTCACTGATGAGGCTTGATAAGGCGCTGTTGTATAATACAGTGCATAATCTCAAACCACCAGAGTAAGGATTAATTTATTTTGAAAAAAAGAATGCTTGCTGACAACCTCTCCTCCAGCTGCCATGCTGGGTAAAAATATTGTACATTTGTTGTTTATAAATTTGGATAAAAGAGGAATGATGTTTACTTCAGATGGAATATCTTTAGACTTGTATCTGTGTGAGAGTTTTTCTTTTCCTAAGTAGATTTCATACCTGAGGGGGAAAACAGCTTACCTCTCAGACAGAGACAAGGTTTCCTTTTTTTATTAATTAATTAATTTTTTATGATTTGGTTCTCCTGTGTTTTTTAAGTTTTTAAGAATTTTTTTTACTTCTTCCATTATTAATCTAGAACAGGAACAGAGAAGAGGATTTCTTAGAGTCTGCTGAACACACACAGGCGTGTCACCATCTCACCTGGCACCACCACAGCTCTAAAAAGACACCACCATAGCTTTTGTCCTTTTCTAACCTGAATTTGATATGCCTCAGGCCTGGAAAATCCTTTCCCTTTGGCTCTGGTCATCTCTGTGGGGTTGTTTGGTGTTTTCCTCCCTTTTGGTTGGTCCTAAAGGCAGGAAAGGGGCTTTGTGTGCAGAACTATGCAGTGAATCAGAAGACAGAGCGCTCTCCAAGAGCAGGGGTCACAGGAGGAGAAAGTGGCCAGCACATGGCTCATCTAAGAGCTCTGTCCAGGCCGGGTGGGGAATCTAGAAAGAATTCTCGGCAGCCTGGCAACACAGTCCCGAGAGAGAACGTTTTCATGGACTTGCAGAAGAAGTTTCAGGCAGATGTGAGGAAGATGGGGGCACCTTGTGACCCACCCTGACCCTGGTGTGGGAGGTCCAGGTCTGAGGGCTGGGCCCGGGTGAGGCTGGTCGGTGCTGCAAGCACTGGGTGTCGGCTCCCCCCACCCCTCCAGGAAGGCCCATCCCATCGCTTCTACTCAGTGTTCCCCAACTCACAAGCCCAGCACCTCCCTCTTCTTGACTGACATAAAAATATGTAGCGACAAGCTGTCTGCTACAGCAGAAATCTGATCAGACATTGATTTCAGCAATTGCCAGTATAGGCCAAGACATAAGGCAGATTTGCTTCTGAGAACGGCTGTTGCCGCTGCAGGTCTGAGGCGGGAGGGCCGGCAGCGTGTGGAAAGCCGTAGCAACATCCGAGTAGGAGCTCCCGCCATAGATAATTGGGATACAGATTTGAACAGTGTGTGCTCCTTCGCGTTCATGCATTTTCATTCTGGAAGATCCTATTTGGAATGAAATTCCGGCCTTCATTTTCCAAGGGTTAGAGTAGCGGCTGTCAGGGGTGTATGGAAACAGGGCGGGCAGCTTCTCTGTGGAAACAGTGATTAAGCCAGGCTGAAGTTTATACTTCGTGCAGCTCACGGTTTTGCTGAGGCATCGCATTGAGCTTCCCCATTGCTCCCTGCTTAAAAGATTCCTTTTCGAGTCACTTTAGTTTTACCAGCAGATCAAAGGCCGAGCTTCGTGCCAGCTTGGGGCTAGCTGAAGCCCTTCTTTAGCATGCTGATTTATTGCCAAGCCTTTACTTGATGGGATGGATTTGTTTTACATGCATTTAATCCTACTTTAACACATGCTTCCAACTCCTGCCAAAGTGGGTTTAGAAAATACATTTTGCTAATGCATCTCTGCTCTCATGTTGTCATCTGGGTGTTTTAAATTGGGGAGTAGAATTAATATGCAGACGTGCACCCGGTGAACTGTGTTTCTCCTTTCAGGCTAATGGAGGCTGGCAGGACGCAACAACTCCATCTTCTGTGACTTCTCCTACAGAAGGCCCAGGAAGTGTGCACTCGGATACCTCTAACTAATCTCTGGCCACACTTTTCCCTGAGCTGACATGCCTTGATAAGTGCATTCAGAGCAATAGGAGGAAAAGGAAAGCGTTTTTGTAGCCCACCATCTACAGCTTTACTGTAAAACCTTGTCTTATTAGAGAACTTGGTAAATCTGTTTTTTAAAGAATCATAATCATTTGTATTTATACTTAAAAACACACAATGTTAAAAAAGCACTTTATCCAATTAGGCCAAGATTTAACATTGTTGACAGTCCTGTAGCTATTTTATCATAATTTATTATCAATATTTTACATTAATGGTTTCACAGTTGCCAATTACTTGGCCTTAAGGGTAAAAAGTACAATGTACGCTAAACCTCAATCGTTAAAGCAGATGCAAAAATTCACCTCACCTAAATTGAACTTCTTGCATTTTCCATCACTGACTTTGATTGTCTTTCTTTCATATCACTAATGGAGTTGGAATAAAGGAGCTGTTTGGCTATCTCTGTTAATGATGGTTGTGTTTAAGAATGTTCGTCACATTTGTGTTGCGATCTCTTATGTTATAATTAGATCAGAGACTGGTAGCACCTTTTCTCTCTCCGAAAGCGCCAGTGCCCAGAGTCTGCTCGGTAATAAAATTACGGATCCAGATTGTTCTGAGAGGTGAAGAGACTTGCTGCTGACAGAGGTGCAAACGAGATCCGTGGGGTTTATGGTGCGCACTGGGTGCTGCACAGGCTTGTCAAGGTCCGCTCCGTCCTCTGGGCATCCACGAAGGGCCCTGCTCCCCGGAGCGCTGTATATAGTGTAGCAAAAGAGTATTTATACATCTCACCAATCAAAACACAGCTTTATTACCTCATGCGAACTCATACAAACCAATAGAATTTCAACATGTTCTGTAGCTTAGAGTGCTCACTTACTACCTCTGAACAATACTCACGGCTGTAGTTTGTCTCTTTCTTATCTTTTTGCATCTTGTAATTAACTCTTTGTTTCCCTTCATAAAATGTAATGTACATTGTAATCTTTTAAAAGAAAAATCAGGGTTGCATTTGCAACTTTTAGAAAAACCGAGAGTGGAAACATTGGGTCTTAATTTAACACGGGATCAGTAAGACTGTTGTAAATACTGAGAAACATTTTGAATGTTCTTCATCTTGTTACTAATCCATGCAAAAAAAAAAAAAAAAAAAGCGGCGACTAATTGTGATGCATTCGGATTTCAGTATTCAGTACTGTATATCTCACCCTGTGTAATGGGGCCCCCCTTTCTCTCTTTTTGTATTGTATGCGATTCTGAAACTGATTGAGTCATGAAAATAATTTGTGGCGGTGATTCTAATGTATTAAAAACGTTTCGTGTTCCTTTCTAACTGGATTACACCCTGGATTGAAAAAGTCTTCCTCGTGGTAGTTATATGTAGTTTCAAACATGAATAAACTTTTTGCTTTCATGATTAAATGTTGACGCAGTTCCTTACTCCACTACTCGAGCCAGCCAGCCAGTGCAGGCAAAGGAGAGAGCCCGCCCAGAACCAGGCCTGGGCATGTCAGCGAGTGGCCTATCTGAGGCCACTTGGAGATGACAGGCAGCCGAGCAGGAAGGAGGAGCCGCTGTTGACTGAGCGCCTCCTTGTGCAGGCTCCATGCTGCCCCTCAGGATGCGACCTTGCATGATCCTGCCATGCCTAGTGACACCACAAGGAAAACACTATCCCCATTTTCATAGATTTTCTGAGACTTAGAAAAGTTAAGCCAACGCCACAAAGTCACAGACCTAGGATAACAAGGGGCTGCGCCTTGAACCCAGGTCTCTGCCCTCAGAGCTCACACTCTCCTCTCCTAAACATGCCTCTGGCACCTGTTAGATGGAAAGGATTTTTTCCTTCTTCTTCTTGAGACAGGATCTTGCTCTGTCACTCAGGCTGGAATGCAGTGCTGTTATCATAGCTCACTGCAACCTCAAACTCCTGGATTCTAGCTATCCTCCTGCCTCAGCCTCCTGAGTAGCTGGGACTACAGGCAAGCGCCACCATGCCCGGCTAACTTTTTTTATTTTTAATAGAGACTGAGTCTGCCTATGTTACCTAGGCTGGTGTCAAACTCCTGACCTCAAGTGATCCTCCCACCTTGACTTCTCAAAGTGCTAGGATTATAGGCATGAGCCACTTTACCCAGCCTGGACAGATCTTTTTTTTAGAAAATAAACAGAGCTTTATCACATTCACTTCTTCATAACTTCTTTAACTATAGTCAAAGATGAGCAAAAGTTTGTAAAGAGTTGGCCTCAGATGCCATTAAAAAAAAAAAAACTTGCAACTTCCCTTAATATACCTTTTTAAACTCTAAATTTGTATTCTGTAAAATGAACTAAAAATCCTTTAACTAGATTGAGCATTTTTGTTTTAAATTGTTAGAAATTCCGTATATTTACATATACATCTGTTGCTAATATCTAAATTTTTATAATAAAAGAGGTCAATAGCAGGTAATTGGCCTGCTTACTATATCTCAAGGAAATTGACTCACAGGAAATCAGATTAATGTTAATCAGTTGCAGCAAATTGTCTATGATAAATACAACTGTTTGACTATTGCAGTTGGTAGAGCCAGGCAAAACAAGGTCTAGGGCCACCATTAATCTCAAGGCGGTTATACTGTGAGGGTAAACTTTATAAAATAGATTGCCCTCCCAAGCCGTCCCCTCACGCGGGTGCTCAGCCTGCCTGGAAGAGTATCTCCCACGGCTTAATAGTTATTTGCATGATTCAATTAGCTTGTGGGTCAGCCATTCTCATCTTCATCTGTAGCACAATCTCTGTGCTATGTGGTTTGGCAAAAATATCCTGTGGAAACTACACACACACAAGCAAATTCATCTTCTTTAATGTCCAGAAGCAGACACTTCCTAAGAACCATGGTTTGTTGGGTTTTATCTTGAGCCAATCTGTTGAGAGAAGCACACACTAGTCCTTCTTGGAGATTCCCACATTGACTGGCAACCCTTGAGGGAATTATGGGAGTCTGAGGCTTCATTCTGGCCAGGCCTAAATAAAAATAGTACTTCCCTTCCTAGGTGCTCATTTAGGAGGCACTTGCACATTTGCCCTCTGCACTCTTCCCCTCTGGGAGGGCAGAAGCATCCTTACTTCATGGGTGAGAGGAAACTGAGGCACTGCCAGACCTCACCCCCCACCCCACCCCCGCGACCCAGCCTCTGGGGTCCGTGGGTTTGTGAAGCTCTCCAGGCACAGAAACTGCACAGGCACGGGCCGAGGTTCTTCTGCCTCTCGAAATTGGGTGAAATCAGTCATGGACTTCCTGGTTTCACTGGGTACCTTTTCTGGGTCAAGCAGTGGGTTCGGGCCTTGATCCAGAGATGAGTAAAATCGGGTCTCAGCCCCCGAGGAGCTTGTCCCTGAGGAGCCCAGTCCTTGTTTGGGACGCCAGTGCTTAGCAAGGGTCTTGGAAAGACTGCTGGGCTTCTAACTCCAAGGCAAGAAATGAGGGTCCCCAAACCACTCGAGCTCAAAGAAAATAACAGCAGGAAACTGCCCGAAACACCCACTCACAGGCTGAGGGGCCGGGCCACGTACCGCTGGAGACACAGGAGCACGCGTGCTCACGCGAGATAGGTGCATGTTCCCAAGGTCCCAGAGCCCAAGCACCTGAGCAGCTGCTCACGTTGGACATGGCATCAGTCTTCCCCTTGGATGTGCACAAGCCGTGTGAAAACCTCCCAGTGTATCAGACCAGGTGCCTTGCAAACCAGGTTAGAACTCTGTATCCCGAAACCGAACTATGTCCTTGTGCCATTCCCTGGCCAGGAGAGGGGGGAAGTGGAAAAGGTGATGTTGGATTAGTCTCCGAGGCGGGGCGGTGTTGCCAGTGAAGGACGTGCTGGTGCTGTGGAAAGCGACCCTCGCTGGGCCGGCGGTGGCAGTGACCGCTCCTGCAGGCGGCCTCGGGAGTGGGCCAGCCTCCAGTGTGAGGTCCCTTCTGGGACAGAGTCACCAGGGAAATCATTCCCACTCACCCCTCAGAGCTTGCAGCTCTCTGCCCATACCTCAGTTGCCTGGGCCACCTGAGTATGGGTGTCCTGTGACGTGTGTAACGTGTCGCAGGCTGTGTGTGGTGCTGTGTCTACAGGTCACAAGGTTCGGGAGGAGGGACGGGAAGACCCCATGTCCTTGGGCTGGGCTGGGCCTGGCACTAGCGGAGACAGACAGAGCGCCTACCCGGGCAGGCTGCTGTCGAGATGACGGGAAGGGCCGGGCATGGGGCCTGCGCACGCTGTGTGTGCGTGACGGGAAGGGCCGGGCACGGGGCCTGCGCACGCTGTGTGCGTGACGGGAAGGGCCGGGCACGGGGCCTGCGCACGCTCCGTGTGCATGATGGGAAGTGCAGGGCACGGGGCCTGCACACGCTGTGTGTGCGTGACGGGAAGTGCAGGGCACGGGGCCTGCGCACGCTGTGTGCGTGACGGGAAGGGCCGGGCACGGGGCCTGCGCACGCTGTGTGCGTGACGGGAAGGGCCGGGCACGGGGCCTGCGCACGCTGTGTGCGCGTGACGGGAAGTGCAGGGCACGGGGCCTGCGCACGCTGTGTGCGTGACGGGAAGGGACGGGCACGGGGCCTGCGCACGCTGTGTGTGCGTGACGGGAAGTGCAGGGCACGGGGCCTGCGCACGCTGTGTGTGCGTGACGGGAAGTGCAGGGCACGGGGCCTGCGCACGCTGTGTGCGTGACGGGAAGGGCCGGGCACGGGGCCTGCGCACGCTGTGTGTGCGTGACGGGAAGTGCAGGGCACGGGGCCTGCGCACGCTGTGTGCGTGACGGGAAGGGACGGGAAGGGCCGGGCACGGGGCCTGCGCACGCTGTGTGTGCGCGGCGGGCAGAGTGCTGCCCGGCCAGCCGTGCAGCGTGGCCCTGTGGGTGTGTTGCCGAGGCCCAGGCTCTGCCCCGCTCGGCCTGCTACCCGCAGGAGCCACTGTGGGTTTGAGCAGACCTCACCCCCAGGTTCCGGAGCCCAATAGGCACGGGTTTGAATCCTGGCCATGCCTCCTCCCCGCTGTGTGATCTCCAGCAAGACGCTTAACCCGCCCGAGCCTGTTCCCTCGTTCCCCCTTCTTGGCTCGTCCGGAAACCTCTGTCCCTGGCGACGGCCTGTCCCTCGGGGCTGAGCCCAGACCACCGAGTGCTGGAGCAGAGCCCGGCCCTGCTGTTTCCCTCGTGCAGCACTTTGCGCCCGCACCGGACGCCCCGGGCCGGGCCTGCGGAGCTGGAGGGCCGGGCCTGCGAGGAGGAGGGCCTCCTGCGAGCTGGAGGGGCGGCGCAGGGAAGGCTGTGACAGGCAAGGTGCAGGACAGCGAGCAGGGGCGTCAGGGCCGTCGGGGATGTTTGCTCTCCGACCCGCCGCAGGTGCTCTCTTCACAGCCTCACAGCAGCCCCTGAGGAAGGTTCTAGTATCGTCTCCATTTCACAGATGAGGAAACCCAAGCCACTCGGCCACACAGACACAAAGCTAGAACATGGGTCTCCGTGTATCTGAAGCCAAAACCCGTATTTTTAACCGTTTGTGCCTCGCTGCCTTGTCACAGCGGCCCTTCTTGTGCCGAATCTGCAGGCTCCCTGCGTGGCTGCCCAGAGCTGGAGAGCCGGGACTGGGCCCAGCACAGAAGGGGAGGAACGCGCCCGCTCTGCCGGCACAGCCTTTGGCTCCTCCCCAGCAGGACGCCTGCTGTGTCCTTGGGCACCTCGGGCAACACAAAGCCTGCTGTCCCCGCTGAGCCCGGGGACCCAGCCCCACGAGCCCTGAGCACGACGCAGGGCCACCTCCCAGCCGAGCCTCGGCTGTTGCAGCCCCGGCCGTGCGCAGGCAGCTTCCTGCCAGCTGCACCCCACCAAGCGCTGCCGGGAGCCATGCCGCACAGCGGGTGGGGACTAGCCCTGTCGCAGAGGCACGGGAACGGATGCCCAGGGGTCCAGCGTGGCCTCCCGGCTAGGAAGCACCATGGCCCACGAATGTGGGCACCCAAGTGGACGGCCTGGGACCCAATCCAGGCTCTGCCTCCCACCAGCTGTGGGTGCTTGGGCCTGGCTGGCTGCTCCGACCACCCTTATTACCCACCCACGACTTGCCCTGTGGGCCTGATTTGCACTCGAATTCCAGCTTGCGTTAGTGCCATGTCCCCAGCGCAAGTCCAGTGTCACCCACTGTTGATAAAACTCAGGTCTTCTGACAGCCAGCTTGATGCCTCTCCCCTCAAGGCAGCAAGATGCGGTACAAAGAGCCAGGGCGCTGGAGTCAGGCCAAGTCCTGCCACGTTCCAGCTGTGTGTGACCCTAACCCTAACCATAACCTTAACCCTGCCTGGCACCTCAGCTCTCTGCAGCCTCAGTTTCCTCATCTTTAAAATGAGGACTTTGTTCCTACCTACCTCGTAGGGCTGTTGTAAAGATT